TATAATGAATATAAATCCTAATTCTATCCCCACCGCCTTTGATGTTAAATCTGGGCTTAAATTATAGCTGCTGTTAATTGCAGCACTGAAATATTTTGCATAATGATGAGACTCTATTGGTTCCTTTTACCTTATGCATTTTCCTATCTGCTGAAGAAAAAAACCCAGAGCAATCCAGATCTGCAGCAATATGCAGATGTAATATATACATTAGCTCTTCACACTGCTAATCACTAAAATATCATGTCACTAGTTCACAAGCAGATGGCACACACAATACCATTAGTGACAGACCTGGTACTGCATTCCTTGCACATCTGAAAGACTCATGTGGAATGCAAGAAATGCAAGACTACACAGTGGCCTGTCCTGTATTTCAGAGGTGCTAAACAACTGCACATCACTGCCTTCTGCTGCCACAAGGGGGAATTAAGTACTTCTGAGACTCAGGCAATTCTTGTGTATGTTGCAACTTTATGTAAAACTTAAGAGAATTTTTTTAATGAGAAAATCTGTTCTTAAACAGTAACTCGTGGCAAGAAGATGAGTTTTAAATCTTATTAAAACCACCCAGCCATTTAATTAGAATGAATTACAATAAAACTCCAAAAAGTCCCCAATTTAAAAAAAAGCCTATAGACTGTTCAGCAGAAACAACACCTAGTCCCTATTAAGTCTCCTGTTGGCACTGGGATCCACATTTTTAGAGCTAACCAAACTAGAAGAGAATATTTTCCACCTAAAGGAAACAAATTCCAAAAATGTAAAGTTTTCTTGGAAGGTTCGTTTTAATGAATTTAAGTTCAGCCAGTTGCAGCCTTCAATTTTCTTAGGGAATAGCACAGACTGTTCTCTGAACTTGACAATGTCATTGCGCTAGAGAAAGGAAAAATCCTTTGATTGCAGGATGTCTATGTGGATGCCGTCTGAAGTAGTAAAGAGACAAATGGTGATATCACATTACCACAACTGAGGTACAGAATCACAGAGTAATTCATGCTGGAAAGGATCTCTAGAGGTCTCTGGTCCAACTGCTTCCTCAGAAGGCCAACTTAGGGCACATTGCTCTAAGCTGAGTTTGAGTATCTTCAAGGATGGAGGTCCTATAACCTCTCTGAGCAATCTAATAAGTAAGGATTAAATCCTCTGCATCAAGCTTTTATGAATGAAGTACACAAATAAAACACTGCTGAGTACACAGTTAAAAACCAAAATTCTGTTAGAAATTGTTTATGCTACATCAAATTAGAAAGGGTCTAAGAACACCCTGTATTATCACACTGATAGCCTGTTCTCAGGTTTAGAGTAAGACTGTCCTACTCAGTATAATAATTAGTATAATACTGCTTCATAATTCCCAGGATAAAGGAAAAGTTTTTTATATGTTTTACCTTTACTTACAATTAAAGAGCAACCCAAAATGTGAGTGGCAGATCTGAGTTCCACCGAGCCCAAAGACTGTGAGTTCTCAGACACACCTCAGTCCCCTCATTACCCTATATGAGCAGTTTAATCTCTAATCCTCCCAATACTTCTTATGAAATAAAACATACTATGATCTCTTTAAGTGGGAACTAAACACAAAGAAATTGATTGTCCTACACAAGCTCTTAGAAGAATTATGTAGAGGGCCAGGGTGTTGAACCCAATATCCCAAACCCACCCTAGTGCTCTAACCACTGAATCCACCATCTCTCTTAAACTGAAATTTTGGGTTGTCCTGATAAAGAAGCAGAATCATGCATAAGAGAAAACCTCCTGGTATTTAGTGGAAGCTGGCTGCCTCCTAACTTCATGTTCCTTTGGAAAGCCCAGCCTACAGCCATTTGTAAACTTCAGATTCAATTTCAGTCCTCCAACTGTTCAAAATCTCACAGTCACCTTCTAACAAGACAGCACAGAAAGGGCACGGGGATGTCAGAACATTCATTGCACACATAGACTGGTAAAGTTTCTTCTTTGAGTTAGCAGCCAGCCCATGTGGAAAATCTTTGATGCAGCATCATCAGAGGCGCCTAGAGCTCTTCACGCAAACAGTGTGGGCAGAGGGGGCCAAGGCTGGATTCATTTCCTGGAATGGGTTACTGAAATAGATACATCTTGATTAAATCCCTGAACAAACATGTACCTAACATTTTCATGCTTAATTGTTCATATATTTTAGAACATTTTAATAAGTGGATGCTGTGGAATATGAACTAATTTACAGTGTTCACATTTTATGAAACTTAATTTCCATATTACTTTTGCTTGCAAGCACAGAAAGATACCATTACATTGGCATGGACTTTCTGGTACACTTCCTGTACTGAAGGCCTACAGAGCACGCTATCTAGCAGTTGGGATATAGCTGCTCCGTAACTTCTCATTTGCTTATCAGCATGTCCTACGATCATGAAAACAAGAAAATTAGGTTTTGTCTATCAAGCTCCAGAAAAGAAAATCAGATCACCACATTGGTTACAATATGAAAAGAAGGTACCCCTAGACAATGCCCTCTCCTGCAGTTACAAAGACATTATTGACCCTAAGTTCAAAGGGGAACTTATGTCTAAGTAGAATATGCAAATACTTGACTCAAAGGGAATCACATCAGTTTCATCACAACTAGATATTAATCAGCTGGTATTTCCTAGATACTAACGTTCTGCTCTAACTCCCAGGCTTCCAGAACAAATTGATCTTATATTTGCAATGATCTCCCTAACAGACTGTAATATTTAGTCAGCATAAAAATAAACACAGTAAAACATGGTTTTGTTAGACAGATGAAATAATGTGTTCTTCCTAATCATCATTAAAGGAAAGCCCTCTGGAATTATTTCAGTTTAGTCTGTTTATATTCTAGTCTTTCGAGTGATTTGGAAGACTAGACTTTTTTTCTTTTAAATATCTGTTCCTTCCTCTTCTCTTCCTTGCTCACGAACGCCCATCTGTTAACCTGTTCTCCTTCTCAGTTCCTTGGTTTTCTCTCACCCTAAGTAGTCCCGGAGAGATTTCACAGCTGGACTTGACTGTCTTTGGTGCCATCTATAGGCAAGCTCTGGTTTGCCACAGAAATACTCAAAAACTTCTATCGATAAATGCTTTGTAATCTCAATGTGGTCTTCTCACAAGGATTATTTCTTGAATGTTCAGCAATTCCGACACAATTATCAAATCCTCTCTGATCCCAGGCCATACTCTCAATTATTTCCTAGGAATCTGAAACAAAGGCAAAGCTAGATTCCCAAATGGAAAGACTGGATCATTTAGTTTATATATCCACCAGTTCACGATAAAATGCCTTTAAAAGTAACTTGCTCAGTTGATCTTATATAGTCCAGAAAACTTTGATTTCACAATGTTCAATTTATCACACAGCATGGGTTTAGAATAATATAGTTAGCGCTTCTCCTAAGCATTCTTCTCTTGAAGAAATGATCAAGGGAAACTAAGATGTGCAAGATGAGGTTTTTGTCTGTATTTTCATGTATATAACCTTTGAAAGAAAAGACAACAGCTTTACGTTACATTGACCAAGTGTCAGGCTTTATTTTAAATGTAATGGCATAACTCAGTATACTATTTAAATCTACAGTGATACTCTGTGCACGTTTATGTATGTGTGGGTGTGAAATGTTCTCCCAAAGGCTTTTTACACCATTGGCCAATTTCAGCCATTCTCAAGGCCATTAAGTTCCAACGGATTTCATGAGATAGCTGAGCAGAGGATCCTAATAATAACCAGTATGAGAAAAGCTGCAGCTTGAGCTTAGCTTCTGTTTGAATCCTTACAGAAGTTTATTTTTTCAGTACAGAAAGAAAGAACCAAATATCACAGATTTCACTGCTCAGTTTTACTCCTCACCATTAATTGATCCATACTCCTGTGTGCTGCTGAACAACTGACAACCTTCATTCTATAAATGGACACATTTATTATGATGATTTAAAATGTGCACCATGCAATGAATTAATACTGAACAAATGTCTTCAGTGTTAGACTTTTATAGTCTGAAGTACATATTTCAGTAATTGGGTAACCTAAGCTTATATATCAGCTTACTAAAAATACTTTGGGCTGATTTAAAATTAAAACTTTTATCCATGAGATTCTACTTGTATGTCAGATATATCTATTACAAATGTATCAGTATTAGTATTATTTGAAGGCTATTAGGGCAATTGCAGGAGTAATGTTTCATGGGTAATTCCTATCAGGATCGGGCCCTTAAGAGTCAAAGTCTACCATGAAGACGTCCATTTGTTGCTATCATAAAGCAATAAAATCTATTTTTTCATTCACAGATCAAAAATCATTCACTAGACTAAAAATAGGTGCAAGCTGAGAGGATTTACTTTGTACAGCACTAAACCTTATATATTGTTTAAAACACTATGCACATTCCTTTGGGATATAAATATCAATCTGATTAGCTAGCAGGTCTTGTCAGGCACAGTAATTTATCCCCTGGGGCATCTGAGCCATCACATGACTCTAGGACTTCTGTAAAAGGTCAAGAGGACTTAACTAAGGTCTATATAAGTCATTATCTCTGTCATTTGAAAAAGAATTATGTCAAGAGGACTCTGCAGATCCTTTACCTTACAGTTTTTTCTGTTCTTGGCTTGGGGAAAACTAAGTGGCAAGGTGAGCTCAATCTTTCCTCTGGAGCTTTTGAAGACATCACAATAATCCACACAAAAAATGCATGGAAATAACCAAAGATCCCCAAATGCCGTGCAGTTCTATAAATACATTTGGTTTTGTCCTCAGCCTGTGCACCTGAAGACTTAACTAGAGATAACAGCAAGCCAGATGCACTAGATGTATCTTAACTAAATGAGGGAACAGTCGGGTCCTGCAGGGCAGCTCCCCTGGTTTGCCCTGGGACCTAGGTTGCAACTGCCCCACTAATCAAACCTGGCTGTCCTCATGGGGCAGCATCAAAGGCTGATAGAGCAAGATCAGTATGAACTCTACCCAATATTATTTTTCATTTTATAGTAGCTTTGACATGGCTCTTTCTGGCATCCTGCAAGAAGCTGAAACTGCTGTTGGTCTACAGAGCTGTCAAGATAACATTTATGTTTTAAATCTGGCTTTTCAGTTTATCCATCAAATTCCTTTGTCCTCACTACCCCAACGTCCCAATTCCAGTGGAAACAGAAAAGGCTGAAAGGATGAACTAGACAGTATAATATTGATTTCCTCTCCAGGGTACATGGTAAGATGTTCTTGTTATGTTTGTTTGCTAATTACAGCTTTAATTGTTTTATCAAAAAGAGAAAAAGGAGGCAAGGTAATGGAACAGATGCAAGTTTTAAACTTTGCCAGCCAAGGTACAGGCACCCATCATCACTTGTGCATTGTAGCAATTTTAAGTATGAAAAAATCCAGAGGCTGAAATCCTGTTTTTTTCAGAGAATAATAATAAAACTCCTGCTGATTTCAATACAAGCACAGTACTTACCAAGTTCTGTGAATTTATGTTTGAGTGAAGTATCTATTTACAAATGTATGTTCTTGCATGATGAAGACCACAGTCAATATTTATCTTCCTAGGTTTGAGAGATCATTGATGGAAAAATCCCATTAGTCTGACATAAACTCAGGAAAATCAAAGATTGTTGACTGGGGTTCGTAATGACCCTCACCGTACTGCAAAACAGTTTGCTGCTTTTTGACCAAAAAGCTAAATTTTTTTTGTTCCAGATCTTTAACTACTTTTCTTCATCTCTTCCTGCTTATTTCAGCTGCTGATTCATTCGATTACAAAACCTTTTTTGTCAAAGTCGGTCTCAACTTCAAGTCCAAAGACCAGCTCACCAAAGTCTTTGGAATTCTTGACCAGGACAGTAGTAGCTTTATTGAGGAAGATGAACTAAAGTAAGTAAATAAAAAAATGAGTTACCAACAAGCTTGTGTTTTATTGTCTAAAAATGCAGGATAAGATCAGAAATACTCCCTTTCCTTCTGTCTCTTTGGATGACAGATAATCCTGTGTGTCTGTGTGCGCACACGTGTGTGTGTGCTTGTGCTGAAGGAGCTGCAAGACAAATAACGAAGGAAAGGTCGGATCACAAGAAAACACTCTGAAAGCACTGAAAATACTTGTTTCATGTAGGGATAACTGACAGACTGTGAAGATAAAAATAGCAGTTCTGCTAGAGTTTGCTTTTTATTATTGCAAGATTTTTTTACTAGACTGAATTCAAAGGCCTATTTTTCCTCTCATCTTTCTTTCTATCCCATGAAGTCTATCTTCCAGATCATATTCATCTGACTTTGAAGTTAAAAAGTAAGGTTAGAAAAATTCTTGCCACTCTTAAGAGTCTACATCTTAGGAGAAAAAAGGAAGATAACACAGGAGGGAAGATGAATCCTGCCACTAGAGTGAGTTTTAATTTCACCTTTTTAATCCAATGAAACCAAAATGTCATCAAGGATTTTTACATGTTGTGATGCAACATCCTCTTACTTTCTTACCCTTATTCCCACTGAAGTTAGAGGAAGTTTTGCCATTTAATTCAAAATGATTTACAAAGAGCTTTTGAAACAGTCCTAAGAATTGAATCAGGCTTGGAATTTTACAGCTATTACCAATAATAAACTCTAAATGCTTTCAGTACTGAGTATATCTCGCTCATTTGTCCTCTCACCTTTAACACACTTTTCCTGCAGAATTTCTCAGCCAGTGCCAGAGCTGTGACTGATGCTGACAACAAGGCATTCCTGGCAGCAGGTGATAGTGATGGAGATGGTAAAATTGGAGTGGACAGTAAGACTGCCTTTATTAAATGGAGCAATATATACCTTTGAGACTTCCTAATGGCTAGCTCTAGGCAGCGGCCCTGCTCCATACATTGGATGGTATGGATCTGATTCTGAGGTGCTCAGATCTGCTCTGTATTGTGGAGAGGATCTAACATAGGAGCCGGTCTGTATTCTGTCCTTGGCTACAGGTGGTCAGTCCCTTTTTTAATCTACAGAGATTTTTTCAGGACTGGAACCTAAATTGATATATTTATAAAATTTCAGTATATAATTTCACTGCTTTTTACTATTGAACTATGATACAATGTGACACTTAAATGCAACACTTCCTTTGTCTTAAGTATCTATTATTATGAGTATGCAATGTGCTACCTTTAAGGAATGATTATTAAAGGAAGTATCATTAGTTTCCCATTTTAACTCGAAAAATTAAGAAAGTACTTTTTTGACTGAGCAACTACAAAATGCTATTTCCTTTTCAGAGTTTCAAGCTCTGGTCAAATCTTAACAAGCAGTCAAGATAAAGACCAAGATATCTGTGCCATAAACAATCTTTACTATTGCAAGCCTACTATTTATTTACACGTTTTGTACCCTGGAAGGTCATGAACAATTGCTGGCAAGTGATTTCATATTGCCCAAAAACATCTGAAGTAGTGCAAGCACTACTTAAACCGCGTTCCCCAATCTTTTAAGCAGAAGGTCTTTAGACCACTGGGAGGCTGAATTGGAATCCACTCTGCTCAACTGAATTTTGGGCATTAAAGATATTAGTAAAAACATTAAGAGAAGAAGAAATTAAAAGCATCTCTGTGGGCCATTTAATTTTCAATATTTGCATAAATAGCTAGCACCTGTTGTAAAAAACAAGACTTAATAAAATGTCCAGGTGTAAAACCTGGTTATGGTAACTGGTAGCAGTGGTATTTAATCAAGAGGTGTATTTAATGCTCCATACGTTTTTATGTCATTCTTTATGCAACTGATTATGTTTCATACACTAATTAAATGGCAGGACCTAGCACTAATTAAGCTGTCAATTTTAATATAAGATCAAGTGGATCCAAGATTAATCTAGATTACTGAAATAGCAATACATTCAAAATTCTCCAAGGAGTCACTCACCTTCCTGCCCACCTGATGGCACTATTGTTCCACTTACAAGAAGTTAAAACAGTATTCTACCCGCTTAAACTAATTCAAGTCAGAACACTTCTAGTATCTCACACGCCCACTTCTGTTGATGACTCAGTTTTGCCAGATTAAATCATCTCTGAACACCGAATGTTAATAATTTGTTTTCCAAAGGATGCGACCCTATGCCTCAGATCTTGGGAGCAGGATGGAGGTCTCAGGAAAGGTCTGTGGTGCTAGTTTGCAGCTGGGGAATAAATACCTTTTCTTGGGTCCACTTTGCAGACACACTGAATGCCCTTTAGTGCCATCCATATGGCACTAAATATCCAGCACACCAGCTGTACTTGGCAAATTGCACACCATGGCACAAAGATACAAAGGAGCAAGACATGGGTCTACCTGCACAGGCGTAGGAGTCAGGAGCCCAGAGTTCCCATCTCTGTCAGTATGAGACTTGAAGGTTTGCACACAAGAGAGCCAGAACAGGGATTCGGTACCCTTTGATCATATCAACATGATTTATGCTAAAATGAGTTCTTGCAAGATCAATGTAAAGAGTGTTAATTGTTACCACAATTCTAAGTTGTTCATTTTGCATGGAAGTCTAATTAGAGAAGATGTGTTTTTACAACCCTCACAAATGCAACTGAAGGCAAAGGGAGCTGTTTTGGATACAACTATGTGAAAAGCACTTTGAAAAATCAAGTCCCTTGTGCTCCATAATGGTAGATTGGGGCACGTTGCCCCAGTAATAAATGTTCTGCTGCTTTTCTCCATCTCAAAACTGAGGATAACGTAATGCCCACATCTCACAGGGTTGTAAAAATAAATGCATAAATGTTTGTGAGGAAAGTATAATAAAATGAAGAGCACTATAAAAAAACTGCTAAGAAATTAATCTTTTTTTCTTTACAGGCAGATTGAAACAGCAAGCTGGAAGTAAGGAATGAGGAGGATGCAAAATTCTGAACAGTTGCTCACTAACTGAAGTTCATTCAGCTTGTGCACTGAGTAAGTTAGGGTTCTGGTTGAAAAGTAAGAGCGTGATGATGTCATCACGATTTTGTCATAATACAAACACACACAACAATCAAATTAGTTACAAAAATGAACTAATTGCTAACAGTACCTAACTAGACACTACGGTGTATGAGTTTTTTAGGCTTACCTATGTGATAAAAATAAAGACATCCAAATAGCCTTTTAAAAAATCTAGATGGCTTTAACCATCCAGAACATTATACTTCCAACATGATAGTTACTCCTATGTACTCTTTTCAAAAAATTTGGAACTCTTGAAAAGTCTGTTCTTGGGCATTAATCTTGCAAAAACCTGTACAATGACTGTCTCGTACTGCATTTGTTGGAGCTATTTAAGAAAATGTTTCAGTATTTGCAGATCAAAAATCTTCATTTCAAAATTATCTGCTAATGCTATAGTGATTCTGATGCATAACATTTATGATAAGACATTATGAAGAAGGAAGGAAATATCAACACAATGTTGGGGAAATCATCATATTACACAAAACTAAAGCAATCTACAGGACCTTAATGAATACTCATAATGTGTTCATGCGTTATACATTAGCCAAAAATATATTTCCATTAACTCTAATGAATGAATCAGGCCCTAACATTGTAGAATTTTCCTTAACAGTGAAAAAAGAATTATCCATCAAACAAATTCATATTTGTGATTTCAATGTCATCTCAGGAGAGCAAAAAACAAAGGAAATCCTGAGGAATTAGTAACTGAAGTCTGATTGCAGGGCTAAAAGCTCTCATTATTATCAGAAAATGCTATGTATCTCAGTTGATACTATGTTTTATATTTTCACCATGTAATATGGGTCACCTGAAGATCGTACCAATATTAATGGCTAAATGAGAGAGAAAGGCACAGGCAGCTCAGGTAACTTTTGAGTTAGCAGGCAGCTCCTTTATTTAACCACACTTACTTCCACGCTGATTAGCCTGCTAGGTCTACAAATCTAAGACAATTTCACCACTTACCATTCCATTAAGAACAGTAAAAAATTAATGACAAGGTAAGTCTGATATCAGCTTCAGTGATCACTCCAGAAAGTTAAGAAGAGCTTGTGACTAGAGACGTTTTTAGACCTTTCCTTCTTTCAGTATTACCACTAAGCAGGCTGGTGGAGAAAATGGTGTTTTCTGTCTACAAGAATACATTTTCTTTCTTTCTTTCTTTTCCTCTCTGTCTCTCACTCACACAGGCTGTCAGGTACTGTGCAATTTCTGTAACTGCTTATCATGTGCTTTAAGAAAGCTCTTCAAATTGTGCCTGTAAGGCCACAGCTGGAAAGACTGCTGCATGATCATAAACATACATTCCCACACAGCTCCCTGAAAGTGAAGAACACTCTTCTGGAACCATAAATTTGGAGGTCTGAGACCATGGCCTGTATTCTGCAAATGTTTCTATCCAACTCTTTCCACCAGAGTCCCTAAATATGTGGTTGCCTTTTGTCAACAGAATTTTGTCACATGCTTTATGCATGTGTTTTAACCGCTCGCCTGAATCTAGACACCTGCTTCTCCTTTATTTAGAAGGCCATTTCTGCTAAACAAGTGACTTTTGATGATTACTAATGATAAGGTTAGCTCTAATTATAGGGTATTTTTACTTTATACCTCACTAAGGGTTATACATCCTCCTACTGCTGAAATTAATGGCAGAAATCCCACTGACATCAATGAGGACAGGTAGTGAATATAGAAATAGTTGGAACCACTTCAGTGCTATTTGCTTTATTTTACCACGGCATCTTACACTGTGGGTCATAGTGAAATACAGCCATGTGCAAAAAGCCTTTGGTAACAGTGTAGTACCACTGTACATATCTTTTACAAGTCACAAAAGGCAGCATCCAGATTATTTCACAGCCTCCAACCTTAGGGCACAGTTACTCTTAAAATACTCAGAAAACCTGAACAATTTAGACTTTTAAAGATCACTCCATCTGACACTGTCTATAATGTTGACAGCAGGCAGAAACATCTTGGACAATTACATTTAGGGTCAGAGACAGAAAATTGTGTTACTGAGTCACTGAAGCACTTGCAAGTGCATTTAAAGACAAACACATAGCATATCAAATGCTAGCAGAGATCTTCCAGGACAGCTTTTTAAGTGAAAAAATATCCTGATCAGAACAGTCTCTATGAATTAGTTACGCTATTAATCAGTTATGCTAGTCTATTCTGCTATCATTTTCAAACAGAAACCAATCTCATTTACACAGAATGATAAGGACATAAGTTAAACTGGGGAAACTACACAAGACATTTCTCCTAACGTGAGAGAAGTACCTGTCTCCGTTTAGCTCCAGACCCACAGTGCTGCAGGATGTATCTTGTACCTTGGATTCTATAGCCCAGATCTCTGCTCAGTGCTCTGGGTAATATCCGCTACTTGCTGCAGGGAAAGAAAGCTTTGTCACTGAGGCTTCCAAGGCCTGGATTTCATCCTTCATTGTAATAATGCACAACACCAAAAAAGTCAAATACTAAACCATGTTCTTAAACTTCTCTGTTAAATATGGTAAAAGACTATGGCCCAAGCAACCATTCAAATCCGATTCTGTAATTACTTCTATATGATTAAAGCATGTGCCTTAAGAGACAACTTGAAGTGGCAGGATATAACTCATTTTGGTGTAAAGGCCCTTTTCAATGATTATAGCTATATTCATACTAAGATTCTCTGCCATCACCATTGAGACATCAACATTAATGATCAACCACACAGGTTACTGAGTATCTATTTTAGTTACTGCCAAACTCATTACAAAGGCAGAATCTGTTATCCAGGATCATGATACAATCGTTCTGGCCCTAACACAATCAGGGCTGAAAGATGGAGTTGTATGGGTTTTAGAACAGCTGCTACAGCATCTCTTTACACTATTGTAGTTGGTCTCAGGTTAACACCTCTCCTCTGATCTCACCTGAGACAACTGCTGATGTTTCTTTTGCATCTGCTTGAAGTCATGTCTTTGGTTGATTGCCACTGCTAATTAACTCTGTACTTTATACCAAGCAGAACAGAAAGAGTACAAGACCAGTCCACAATCTGTCAATTATTTACCAAAACACAACTTTCCTCTGCTTATTAGAGAAGTGAATGGTACTTGATTTGAAAACAGTTGTTTTATATATTTAGATTCCTAGCAAGAACGTATCAATATGAATGTTCTGTATTTCTCAGAACTACACCTTCAAGTTTAATTCTGGAAGTCTGAAACCAAAAAAAATGGCTTTAATATGCCTGTATATACTGTGCATAAAGACACCCTGGGTGAAAACAACAGAAGTAAAGTTATACAAGTACATAAATCTTCAGAT